GTCGTCTAATAAGAATTTCAGTTGAGAGTACAGAAGAATCAAATATTTCTTTCATCTGAAACCGGTGTATATGCGTTTATTAACGATAAAAGGATACATTACATGCCACTACGTTGTTTAGCAGCATTAAATGCTGCGTATCAAAGATTACTCTTAGTTTTCAAGAAATCAATTAGCACTTACTGAAGAAAAAGAGAAGAAAACAATAGAAAGCATATGAGACCATGTGCCAAGAGCCAATACCCACTCTTAAAGCTTCTCTACTTTTCTTAATCAATAGAACCAGAAAGAGAAAAAAAGTAAACAATTTGATCAAGCATTTCGAACTAGTGAAATGAAATGAACAAAATACTAAATACTAATACCTCTGTTCCGAGTCGCTTGTTAAGGGCTTCATTCCACATGTTAGCAGCATAGTCAGGCTGAACTTTGCTCCAAACTGTCATGACAGAAGCAACCTGGAAACATATAAAACAAAAGTAAAAAAAACATACAGCTCAAGGAATGATTAACCTCAAAGAAGGTGTTTAAAGAGGTAACAAGAAAGAGACAAATTGAAGCTCATCTTTTCATCGATGCCACAGTTCTGAGAGATGAAAACTTACAAGATGAGCATCCAGAGGAGGTGGGTAGTTTCCGCTGATGGTATCGATCCAGCTAAAGATCAAGTTGTGATAGCCATATGGTCTCCCATCCATGCTGCGAGCATATTCCCATGCAGCTGTAACATTAAACCTGGCTCGATAATCAGGATGCAATGGTAGCAATGCGATGTGGGGATTTGAGTCATCCTTGGTTTGTTCAAACTCCCACCACTCTTCCCATGGCAATATTGCTATTACATCTTCTCCCTATGACCCAAAGATTCAAAGGTAGAGAAATGCAGTTTCATGAATCAGTTTCACAAGATTGACTTGGAAAGAAGTGGCCAGTAAAATACGAATATGTCATATCAAGTTCAGAGTAACTATTTATAATTACTCATCAACCATTGCGATGATGTTCAACCATATCAGTTTAGTTTGTTCTTAGCAAAGATAATCATCTAATAATACTGAGACCAAGAATTAGTACACTCAATGGCTATATAATTTCCACCTAAAATGTAAAAGCTAACTCATCCGGCATTTCAAGTGTTACCTTTTCATTTTCGTTCCCGGATTCACCAACCCAGAGTTTCCCTTGAGAATCCCTCAAACAGACAGCAGTGTGACCAGCATAGGCTCCGCTTACCCACTTCTCAAGGGTCTCAAAACCACCCCACCGCCCACGGATTTTAGAGATAGCTAGTAAGTCTCCAGAGTGAATTTCATCGGTAGTAATGTTTGTAACCCAAGGTTGAGGACGAGCATAGAAATTAGCACCCATATGCTTCTCAAGAAATGCGATATTAGAATTCTCCCCCCAACCTGTATTGGTAAAGAGAGGGAAGACATCCCACAGCGCTCGGAGAGTTCCCACCATCCCTGCTTCCATGAGGAATATCGAAACTCCTTTCTGTTTAACCTGATCAAATGTGAGCCCGAAAGGCAAAACGCACAGCCATTAGATATATTCATTCAAAAAATGGGCAAAACAAAAAGGTATAGCAAAAAGAGAAAAAAGGAGAAAAAACAGCAGCTTACATATTCATACTCGGCTTCTCCTTCCCACTCCTTGAATTCCATGGTATGCTCCCTGGAAATGAAGTACCAGTCCCATGTGACACGATATGGAGTCACGAAGACATAAATATCCATGCAAGTCCAACTATGTGGCTTATCGACCTGCACAAATCACGCAGATAGCTAAATCAATTTAAGATTCATCAATCGAAAAGAGCTTCCCTGGATCCTACACAAAGGTAGAAGAAACAAAGCAAGGGAACTAAGCAAGTAATGAAGCTTGCAATGAAATCAACTAGACTGAGAAATGATTTCAGCTGTGAGCGTCCATCATAACATCCAAAGTAAATGAGTAAATGTAACTCTAAGCCTGTAATTGATTACAAGAAATGTTCTCCAAAATTTCAGGACCCCAAAAGCCTAAATCTAAAATCAAAACTAAACAAATCGATTGATCAACAAGAACCTCAAATAAGTCAAAACCCATAAACAAGAAAACCCTCAAAATCAAACCTCCGAATATGCAACACAAGGAATTCACAGAGCAGAATAATAAGAGAAACAGATTCATCATTTCGTCAGACCTTAATGTGAAGTGTGCCGCCGCCAAACTCGGAGCCGGACTTGTTATTGAACTCCAACCAAGCCTTGTTCTGATAGAAACACGCACCTTTCCACTCGACGGCGTCGTTTTTAAGAGAGGCGGCGCCGATGTAAGTAGGGAGGAGATCGACGGCGGAGTTGAGAGAGTTGAGAAGCGGCCACGAGACTTGCCTGGGCAAAAGCGGGAGCAGGTCCCGAGGGTGAAATGGTAATTTCACGAATGATGAAACAGTGAGAAGCAGAAGGAAGGTAATGGCGAAGAAGATGCGTGGAGACGACGAAGCCGCCATTGTTAACGCCTTTGGGTTTCCGTGTCGAATTCGCAACTCTGAATATTTGGATCGTCCATGAGTTTGGTTTGTTTTGTTTTCTTAACGTATTTATATTCGGTATATTCTTCGGATATGTGTAATGAAATGTCAAATGATTTTATTTCATATATAATTTACACATGTTTTTTTTTAACATATTTTAATTTGAGAAATTTTAAGAAATGCAATTTTTTCAAAATTATATTTTTATTATATTATTTATGTTTGGGTTAACAACCGTTTACTTTACTGTTAAGTTTTAAAACGACGTCGTTTTGAAATTAGAAAAATAAAATCTCATAAAGTTATTTTAATACCAAACTTTCCATTTTGAGCAAAAAAAATATCAACTTCTTAATGAGCCATGAAATACACAAACTTATGTTGACTCAGTCAAATTAGGTATAAAATTAGTTAACTTAAGACCAAAATCCAAGTTCGGAGAAATGGAGAGACAAGATCCTCAGAAACTTGATCGGCTTCGCACTTAGAGCAGACATCGACATCGAAGCACCAAAAAGATTCGACCAACATTTCAAGAAAGAATAAACAAAGAACGAGCAGATGAAAGAAGACTCATCATCAAAACTCCAGCTAAGTAACATCATCACTCCTTGGGGGTCATTAGTTTTCTTTTACTTTAACGCTAAGTACTCATGAGTCGTTAGACGTAATCCCGAGGTTTTGGCAACCTCAGACGGGCCTAACAGTTGAATTTTCTATTATTTTTTCCAAAAAAAGAAAGGGATAATAGTTGCTCATGATATCACTCCTATGCACCTCGGTCCTAAGGAGCAGGTTGCCCTTCCAGGTCTCCGGATTCAAGTTACGATTTCCAAAGATCTCGTGTTTTAACATGTCTTTGGACTCAGGCTATGCCATTCAAGGATCTCGGCTCTCCATGTCTCCAGACCTTGGCTCTGGATAAAGTTGACTAATTTTATACATAATTTGGTTAAGTCAACATAAGTTTGTGTAGTTTATGGCTCATCAAGAAGTTGATATTTTTTTTTGCTCAAAATGGAAAGTTTAATATTAAAATGACCTTCTGA